GCCACTGTCTCTATGTGTGGTCCCAGGGCGAGGGGTGACTTTTAAGAGCAGATGGAGCCCCTTTCCCTGTGTCCCCGGCTCCAGCTCAGAGGGTAGGCACAGAGCACATGGAGGAGGATGACCTGGGGCCAGCCTGACACCCTCGTGTCTCTGCAGAACGTCAGGACTCAAGGGCCTCCATGCTCACATTTTGCTGCTGAGGACACTGATGCTCCAGGAGGGAACGTCCCAATGTCAAGGGGAAGGTTAGCAGTGAAGTTGGGAAGCAATCCCAGGTTTTCTGACTCCCGGCTCATGGTCATTGGTAACAAATGTGTGAAGATCCGTAAATTATTCCTCTGTCCGTTTCCTGCCAGTGTGTGGAGAGACGGGGGAAGCCAGCCATGCCACTGAATGCTTTTGGAGTCCGCAGTCTTGATTAATGCTTGGTGGTCAGCTAAGTACCAGGACCCCTGTAGTGTGGCACTCTGTAATTAATCCATAAAATGAACCTCCGAGCTAAGTCTCATTTTCTGTGTCTTGCGGTCGAGGAAACGGAGGAGCAGGGAATGCCCGTCTGCCCAGGACGGCGCTCTGTGCGAGGTGCGGCCGGATTCCGCGTTCTTTCCACTTCGCTGTCCTGTCCTTAGCACTTTCATCCTGATATTGTAATGCCGAAAGTCAACTTAGAACTAAAGCACACTTACATTGATCACTCCCAGAACATAATATTTTGAGGGTATTAACTGCCTATTAAAGAAAAAAATTGATTTTTTACTTACTAAACATTGCTGACTTTGTTCCCTGCGCTCTCTATTACAGAAGCCCAGTGGGATTTAAAACCAATTCTGTTAGCTCCAGTTGTTGACGGCGTCACGTTGGCGTTGTTCCCAGACGATCGCAAACACTCCTGGAAACTATTGGTCCACGCCACCTGGGGTGGGGGCTGCCCCCTCGTTGGCCCGGCGGGCTGTTATCCTCTCCCGGTGACTCAGCGCCCGGATCCCTAAATTTTCCTGGCACGTGCTCACCACGTGCTCTGGGCTGACTTCCCACGTGGCCTGTGCTGAGCATCTTGTAACTGGAACTTTCCAACAGGGCCCCTCATGTGCGTTTCCTCCAGCCTTCTCTGTGCTTGTCAGGTCTTAGGCGTCACTCTAGGCTCATGAGGTGAAGACTAAAAATTTCACGATTTCTGATTGTACCAGTCAGGATGGGGCAGGCAGTGCCGCAGCAGCCAAGAAGCTGACAGCTCAAGGGTGTAACCCAGCAAGGGCCGATTTCTCTCTCACTCTGCATGTCCTGCGAGGGACACAGCGACCTGGCTGAAGGGGGCTTCGTCTCCTCACGTCCCTGATCCGGATCTTCTGACCCTAGTTCCTTTCATCATCCCTGATAGAACAGTTTCAGTCCTAAGCGCGATACCAACGATACCAACAATGTTATCAGAAAAGTCCTGCCATCTGAGTGTCTGCTATCAGCACCTTGTGAGCTCGGATAACCAGCCCCCTCTGCCCTGCGCAATAGCCAGCCATTTGAGACAAAGGACAAATGAATGAGACATTTTTGTTTGTTTTTGACAAAGCTGACATTGGAGCGTGTGGATTATGCCCGTGGGAGTTTGGGCTTCCAAAAGCTGACCCTTGAGTTAGCTTCGCAACCTCCAGCAATGTGAGGTCAAAGCCAGGCCTCTCCTTGGCCCAACGCCTAGGCCAGAGGAAGGTTTCTGGGTTGGGTGTGACAGGACAAAGAACTTTAGAGACATCGCCGAGGCCTCATATTTTATTCACGTTTTACAGACGAGGAAACTGTGGCATAGAGAAGTGGAGGAACCTCCCCAAGGTCACACAGCCTGCTCTCTCCCAGTCCATCCCGTGCGATACTGTCGAGTCCCCTGCCAGCTTGGGTTGCTGCCTGTGTCCCTGCTGGGGAGGGAGTTTGCCGCAGTGAGGGCCTTTCTCTGCCTTCTGTGCCCAGGAACGTCACATCTGTCCTTTTAGAACTGGCCCAGAAGGCTGGGCGTGGTGGCTCACGCCTGTAATCCCAGCACTTTGGGAGGCTGATGCAGGAGGATCTCTTGTGGCCAGGAGTTTGAGACCAGTCTGGGCAACATAGTGAGACCCTGTTTCTAAAAAAACTTTAAAAAATTAGCCAGGCATGGTGGTGCGCACCTGTAGTCCCAGCTACTCGGGAAACTGGTGTGGGAGGATCGCTTGAGCCCAGGAGTTTGGGGTTACAGCATCCTTCCAGGGTGGGACCTGCTTGCTTGGTGTGTGAACAACTGCCCACCCTGGGGTTTGTGGAGAGGATGGAGTGGGCTCCCGGGAGGGGAGTCAGCATGCAATCTGCGTTCTGCATTTCTGACTCAGCTGATGTCTGCAGGAGCCTAACAGCACCCTGTCCATTGTCCTCGCTTTCCCAGTGGAGCTCAGAGGAGGGTGCCACCTGTTGGGCAGAGCTGGCTTTTCCAATCAAATTTTCATTTATTTAGGCTTAAAATCTAGTTTGTGTGTTCTCTCCTCTGCAGACTGCTAGGTGAGGTAAAAGGTCTTGACTCTGAGTCTCCTGGCTGAGCTAACAGACTGTTTCCAATGTTTCCCTCTCATCTGTCACAGAGCAGAGTGGGGTCCCCGCCTACAGAGGGAAACTGACCCGGAACACTCCAGAACTCCCAGCAGCTCTGCCTTCAGCCAGTGCTGGGGCAGAACAGGTGGCTGCGGCATGGGCTGGAGGGTGGAGTTGTTAACTGGGATCCCATATGCACTGGGTAAGTGTGTGCAGCTGGGGCAGCCAGGCCTAAGCGTGAGGAGACCTGCCTTTTAACCTGCTGGGCCTCAATTTTCCCATCTGTACAGTGGGATAATGATTTCCAGCCCATGTCCTTCAAGACCTGTTTTGAGGATCAGATTATACAGTGAATATGTTTGTAAAAACTCCAAAGAAGGCAAAGCTGAGGGCTTGTGGCTGTGATTTGTGGCACACGTTTGTCCTCCTTGTAGCAAGGTTGTCTTGACGCTCTGCCCACCCCTGACTTTGATTCCCACGGGAGCCAGGGAATTCCGCTCTGGGACTGGAAGCTGCTTTGAATGGAGGCTCTCCCAGCCAGACTCCCGACTCCACTCTCCCGAGTACGGTGACGGTGACGGTGTCCCGAGGTGAGCGCCCTCGGCTTCCCAGCCTCTTCCCCTCCCCTGCGGGTTCTTGCTCAGGGCTGTGGGCTGCCTGAACGTCGTCGGGTGAAATGAGCTGCCGCAGAGTGGCTGCTTCCACGTCGGGCAGCGGGGTGCGTTTCTCATGAAGCATGCCAGGCATGAGCCAGGGGTCGCCCGTGATCCTTACGCTTTAAGGATGAGTTAGCTCTGCGTAAGTCCACCGTGGCCCTCGAGGCAGTGAGGCGGTGTGGTTTGAAGGAACAACAGAGCCCATGAAGCCAGCTCTGCCACTTACTAGCTACGGGACGTGGTGGGAGACCAGTAGCCTCTCTGAGCCTCAGTTTCCTCATCTGTGGATTTGGCATAGAAGGGCGTAGCAGATCTACTTGCAGCATCACGGTGCTGCTGCCACAGTTAAATGAGAAAACGCTAGGAAAGCACTTACCGGGTGTCTGATAAATGCAGAAACGCAGTCTCTTACGCTCCTACCCTGCTCAGTAGCTGGAAAAGCTGTCTCATTATCTGATTTGAACCTCGTGCCAGCTCAAAGGTAGGTTTTAGTATCAGTGATGAGGAAACAGGCTCAGAGAGGTTTGGTGACTTCACTAAGGTCACACAGCTGGGAGGCGGCAGAGTCTGAACTTGGATTCAGGTCTTCAGACTCTGAGGTCTGGCGTGGTTCTAGGTGCTTGATGCTGGCTGTATCATTAATGCATTGTGGAGGGCGAAGGGATCAGTGTGGGATGGGCAGTGCATTCCATGGAACAAAATCATTCGCTGTAGAGATGGGGGGCAGGGGGGTGGGGAGCAAGTGCCTTTAGCTGGGGGCCCAGTGGGCTCCCTGGCTGCTGCAGCCCATCAGCAGGGCCTTGGAGGATAGGAAGGGGCCACATGGCCCTTATGACAAGGGCTGTTCAGAAACAGCATCCTGCCGTGGCACTGGAGCTGCGGTTGCCCTCTGAAGGCCACGGGGAGAGCCGTGGGCAGGAAGAAGCCAGGCTTCATGTGGCCCCAGGGGAGGATGGGGGGGTGGGGTCGATAGGTGCTGTGCCTCCTCTCCTGTGCTGAGGAATCCTTGTAATGACCTTCCAGAACCGACAGCAGGACCATGGCCATGGTGATTAGGAAGGAGAAGAGGATGTAGGGGAAGTGATCTGCTGGGGCCAGGTGGTCCTGGTGGAGCGGGAGGAGGAGATAGAAACCGAGACCCAGAGAACCTCCTATTGACCTGGGCAGAAGGGACCTGCTCCTGAAAGGAGATGCTTGAGGATTTCTGAGGCAGTGATGAAATGACAAGGATGGGGGCAGCTGTTCTGGTCCGGCCCATGGAGTAAGGGCTCAGGAAAAATCTGCCTCAGTCATTTTCACAGAATACCATGAGAGACGTAGGGCCCATGCCTGGTCAGATGACAGAGTGGGACAAGGAGGGGATATGGTCTATTCCTTCTGTTGCTGCAGTTCACTGCCAGGATGTGAGCCCACAGCTCTGGGGGCTCCAGTGGGGCAGCCTAGATGGGGCACAGCCCTGGCAGGGTGAGGGGCTCTGGGTGTGGGCAGAGAGCAGTGCAGAGGAGGGTCAGAGGAGGATGTGGGGACGCTGGGTGATCCTCTGGCCACAGGCTGTTGTCCGAGCTGGGCAAGGCCCTCCTTGGGATTCCCAGACACAACAGGAAAGCCTGGAGCTCTTCCAGAAGCAGATGGGCCCCAAGCCTGCAAGGTGTGGGTTCAGCCACCTTCCTCCTTGCCCAGCACGTGCCTGCACAGCCCAGGTGCTCCGTGAGGATAACTCGGAGGCCCCCAGAGAGCGTGGTGAGACCTGGGTCCCAAGTGCAGCCTCAGCGCGCAAAGGGAGACTCAGAGACGACAGGGAGGGGTTTGCAGCCACACTTAGGAATGGGCCGGGTCAACCCTTCTTTAATGTTATAGAAGGAGGGGCCTGGTCTGGAGGGGCGAGGCTGAAGCCGGAGATGCAGTTATTTTAGGGTGGGATTAACTATTTTTCCCATAAAGATAGCATTGCTGGTGATTCTGTCATAAATTCCCAAGAGGAAGGGCTTGTTGAATGAGACCTCGGGGGGAATGGACATGGGTATGGCTTCCACAGTCGTGACCCCAGCAGCTTCTGTCCCTTTCTCATCGATGGTCAGCACAGCCTTATGCAGAGCCTGGAGGGGAGAGAAGCAGAGGTGCTTGGTTCTGAGGCTGAGCTGTGCCCCACCCCCGGCCTGGCAGCAAGGCCCCTGTGGGCAGCCTCCTCCCTGGAGCACTCACTTGGGCCTTTCTCCACCTGGACGCTCCTGGCCCTGTCCACGCCCTCCCCTCCCTCCTGGTCACATGAGGCCCTTCCCTCTCCCTGGAGGCTCTGGCTGATTCGGCCAGCACCCCTCCCCTTCCCTGCCTGAGCTACATCCCTCTCCCTCCTTGGGATACCCCAAATTCAGATAGGGGAGATAGATCATGTCACTCTCGGTGTCTGCCTCCGCAGGCCTCTACTTTCTGGTATAAGATTTTAGCTCTGATGGTGACACTTGCAGTACCCAGACCCCAAGATAACAGTGGCATTAATTGAACTGCAGTTGTTCTTTAGCTGCTCTTAATTTTCCTAAATAAATGACATCTTTTGCTGAACTCACTCATTCATTCAAACTTGGAGATTTAGCAATAATTCCAAATCTCACAGATGTAAGGGGCCAGAGAGTCCTTAGATATCACTGAGCCTAATCATTTTGTGTAAATATGGGTAAATTGCAGCCCAAGGTCTAGAAGGCCCTGGGCAAAGATGCGACAAAGAGTCAGTGACACAACCTCTAGGGAGGTCCCTAAATTGCCAACAGCACAGGAGGCCCAGCTCAGCCATCCGACCACACCCTGTCTCAGTGAATCAAGGGCATGTTCAGCTCAGTGTATGTCAGTATTTGTGTCCCTTGGCCCTTTCCTCAGCCTCATGACAGAATTGTGCCTGCCCCCCGCCCCCAATATTCTGCACTACCAACTGCAGGGGACAACACTGTTGTCACGGTGACCTCACCTTGGAAAGCCGTAGCGGTGCATCCTCAGTGACCCCCGAGAGGTCGGCCCCATTGCTGAAGACCTTAGTGATGCCCAGTTTACTCAGGACTGTCTTCAGATCATAGGTTCCAGAAATGGACAGTCTGGGAAAATGTAAACTGGCAGACCTGTAATGCAAGAAAAGAATGAAGGAGTTTCACAGTGCTTCTCCTGCTCTTCTGGGGACCCCCACATAGTAAAAGTATTTTCTTTCTGTCTATTTCTCCCACTTAGTGCTGTGTCCCCCACACTCCAAGAAAGGAAATTGGCCTTGATTTGTTCAGTTTTTAGCTCCTCTACACAAGGAGTCAGAAAATGTTGGCATCAGAGGAGTCACCTTATTTTGACAGCTTCTGAAATGCCACCTCCTCCAGGCAGATCCTGGGTATCCTCCTTGAAGCATGTCTCATCCTACCCTGCAGTCTTTGGTCCTCCCCACCTCCAGCCTGGAACATTCCTAAGGCTTGACACCCAAGGTTCAGGGAATGAGAGAACAGTAACTGCACCAGGCTGAATGCCCAGCTCTCGTTTTCCATGGAGAAAAAATGACAACCTGAGAAGGGTCTGACATGAGTGAGCGGACGGCACTGGGGCTCTCTTTGACCAGTTCCAGTCTTGCCTGCCTCATTCTCTTTTCTCAGCCCCTGGAGGGTGCTGGTGGGGGACAGAGGCATTCAAACTGCTATTCACATTATTAACCTGATACCACTAGTATTTTCATATTTGTTTTACCATGTGCATAATAAACTACGTCAGCAGCGCATGGGCATATTTATGAATGCACAAACATACACTAATGGGTGGTGGGCACTCAGTATTATTTACCGTTGGGCACCCAACCAAACCACACTGATGAAGTGGGAGAAAAACTAGAATATTCTGCAAACATGTCCTGGATGTCCCAGCTCTGGCCCTTGCTTTTCTGGACCTTGTTCTCGTAGACTCTTCTGCTGTCCACCCAGGGACATTCTACCCTTGAACGCCACACTCCACTGCTGCCTCTGCCAGGAGGCCCATGTTTTTAATTTTTGATTCTGCCAGAACATGTGCTGGCATTGCTGTCCCTGCCCTGGGCACTGGATAGTGGGAAGGGACAATGTCCATGCTGATAGAGATGTTCCCCAGGACTGAACCTTTGTCTCCTCACCGCTGGGTACTGCCCCTCTCGTGGAGCCTGCCTGGTGCTACCCGAACTCAGGGGTGACCTCTGTCTGGACCACAAGGCCGTGCACAGCAGCAGTGAGGAAGCCTCCACCCTCCCCAGCCCTCTGGCCCGTCCTGAGGTGCCTCAGATGTCTGGGCAGGACCTGTGCTAGCCCCTGGTTGGGGAATCACCTTCTTTCTCTGTTTTTCAGGAACTTGGCCACAATCTCCTTGGTGAGTTCGTTCTCTAGGTGCTGTAGTTTCCCATCATCGGGCAGGAAGAAGATGGCGGTGGCGTTGCCCAGGTATTCCATGGTCAGGACCCAGCTGGAGAGCTTCTCGCAGTGGTGGATGTTAAACATGCCCAGGCGCTTCATCATGGGCACCTTCACCGTGGTCGCCTCGTCCACGTGGAAGTCCTCTTCCGTGGTGTCCTCGGCCTTAAAGGGTTTCTCCCATTTGCCTGGGCAGTGGGGAGAAGTTTGGGTAAGTGTGGCAGAACAAAGGTGTCCCGAGCCCCCCGGTAAGACGCACCTCCCTGAGCTTCAGCTTCTTCATCTGCAAGGGGCTGAACCCATCGTCCGGGCTGTTGCAAAGGATTTTGTGAGGATAATTCAAGACTAGCGGAAGATCCAGAATTTCTATTTTGCAGAGGCTAAGAGATGCCATCCTGGCTGTGCCTAGTAAGCATCTTTATTAGAATTATATGTTTATTGGAGGGTGGCTTGTGGATTATAAGCAAAAATTTGGAGTATCAGTCATATATGTCACCTCCTGTCTGGGGCTCCCAGCTCCTTGTTAATTGGCACTTCAGTTACCATTCAAGGCAAACATTCTTGTTCCTACACCTAAGTTCATTTCCTGGACTAACAGGTGAAAGGTAGATGCCTGGGCAGCCTCCCCCTCTGGGGCCCCGAGAGAACTTCACCATCAAGGCAGTCAAAGTGGGCAGGTCCCTCAACTTTCTCACGGGACAAGAGGAGGAGACAGGGCTGCAGAGGGCACAGGGCCTGCCCTAGGTCCACAGCAGGGCTGGATCTGTGCTGGCTCCAGCCTGGACGCTCCCTGCTGCACTGCTGTGCCTCGTGAGCAAGGGAGCTACTGAGTGCAGGGAGCAGCCCCTGGCCTTGGCTCCCACGGGCATCCTCCAGGCTATTTCCATGGGACAGTGGAAGCTGGCTTAGGACACCCTCGGGGCCCACAGGATTCTGACATCTTAACCACTCAGGGGCAGGAGGGCAGGCTGAGATACAAGGTCCACTGATTATCTGCTGCGTGCCACACAGTCCTACGTCTTTTGTGACTAGTTTAACTTCACAAAAGCCTGACAACCATGGTATTATTTTGTCCATGATAAGGCAGGGAAGTAGCACCTCAAAGAGGTCAAATGGCTTGTGTATTGTCAAAAGCCAGTAAGTGGTAGAGGCAGGCTTTGGACCCAGGAGTTTCAGACCGCAAAGCTGACACTCCTTCTAGGACACTAGGGTTGTCCAAAGTCAGTTCCATGAACCTATTTCCTTCATGCAGTGTGCTACGATATATTTTTCTGGCTCTGTAGTTTGGAAAGCTTTTCATATTCTACATTTATAATAAACATAAAGATATTAAAGGCTCTGAAAACTTCTGCAGAGACGTCGATAATTTTGCCTATTTAATCCATTATTCCCCAAACGTATTCAATGATGGGAAAGATTTTAGTGTTCGTGTGTGGAAGCGTGAAGAACACATGGTGCAGTGCATTGCCATAGCCCCTAATGCGTTGCCAAAGCAAGTTTATGAATGGATTGAGAATATTTTTGAGTGTTTCCATGGGAACCAGCTCAGGCTGGTTGTACAATCTTACCTTTGAAGAAAATGTAATTCACCAGGGCAAAAACTGTGTCTTCGTCAAGATCTTGGACCAAATCCACAATTTTCCCGTGGGTTCCCTTCTCCACATAATCGTTGATGTATTTCTTGGCCCCTTCAGTGTCGCTGAAGTTGACGGAGAAGGCATCCGAGTGGTACAGGTTTTTGACATCTCCCAGAAACTTTTCCACTAGCTTCAGATTCTCGGCGATGAACAGGCCATTGCCAGTGGTCAGCTGGAGCTCGTTGGCTGGCTTGTTGAGCGTGTGGAGGAGGGACTGGAAGGCTTCATGGATCTCAGCCTCGGGCGTCTCCGTGAGATTGAGGTTCAGGCCCTCCAGGATCTGGGTGTGGGTGTCGGCCTTGGCCCCCAGGGAGAGCACCGCAAAGGCCGTAGCGATGCTCACTGGGGAGAAGAAGATGTTGGTGGTGTTGAATTCATGGGCCAGCTGGCGGTACAGCCTGAAGGCGAACTCGGCCAGGTTGGGGGTGATCTTGAGGTAGGCTGGGTGGTCGAGATCATGCTGGGATGTATCCTGGGCAGTGTCTTCCTGGGGATCCTCAGCTAAGCCGCTGGGAACCAAGAGGCACAGGCCTGCCAGCAGGAGGAAGCCCCAAGAGACAGAAGATGTCATTGTCCTACAAGACAGAAAAGTGGCGCCAGGACCCAAGTCAGGACACAGGATGACTCTCAAGGACCAGGGATTGACAGCATGCAAAAGCAACCATGGTGTATCATATCTACTAGGTTCCCAGCCCGTGCCAAGCACTGTCCTATGCCATCACCATCGAAAGCACCAGAAAGATAGCAAAAATGTAGCTGGTGCTTACCATATGCCAAGCCCTGTGCTGAGCACTCATGTGCATTAACTCATTTCATTCTTCTCACAATCCTCTGAGGTAGTAACATTCCTGTTCTCCATTTACAGACAAGGAAACCAAAGCCCAGAGGGGTTAAGTCATCTGTCCAATGTCACCAAGCAAGTAAAGTAGCAGTACCAGAATCACATATCTAGGTCCTGAGCCCATGCTCTGGAAAGCTCTGCTTACATCTGCAATGCCCCTGAGGTGTAAGTGGTATAGCCACTGTTTTACAAAAGAAGAAACTGAGGCACAGGAAGAGTAATGGACTTGCCAACAATTAGCCAGGAATCGGCCTGGATTGTTATCGAAGGGCCAGGCAGGGCACCTGCTGCATAGGGGAAGCGTCTTGCGCGGTGGCGCCCGGCTAGAACGTGGTGGGGCTGCGGCAGAGCCCCCTGGGGGCTGTACCCACTCAAACGCACAAGCACCCTCAGCCCCTAGTGTTTTTTCCTGAGACAGGGGGCTGTCCCCACGATGCTCTGTGGTCCCAGCCACAAGAAGGGGCTGAGGTTCCTGCAGTCGGCTTACCTGCCTTCCTGGTCACCAGCCATTTCCTAGTCCTGGGCCCTCACTTTCAGGGGCATTAGGGTGGCTTCTCTTTCCTTTGAAGCAGGGGTTTGTGTGTGTGAGTCGGGGGGAGTGGAAAAGCTTCAGGCAGACCTCAGTTCTAATCCAGGCTCTGTCCCTTTCCAGCTGTGTGAGCCGGGACAAGTCATGAATCTCTCTGGTCCTCACTTTGCCTCATATATAAAGTGGGGTTGTTGGGAGCATTGAGTGAAAGAAGTGTAGACACAGAAGCTTCCATCACGGGGTCTTAGAGCAGCTCTTGAGGCGAGGCTGGTGCGTGTTGCAAACTCAAAGCCTTCAGGCAGTACGGGGTGAGGGATGTGTGTTTCACAGCTGGGGGTGAGACCACGGGCATGTGGCTGAACCAGCGAGAACAGGCTCTGCCTGGAGATGCTCAAAGTCAATGCCGTCCACCAAAGTCAATGCCGTCCACAGCTGCAGAGCCCGACCTGCCCCAGGCCTACCACCACCCCTGTGGCCACCTACAAGAACTGCTGCCCTCGCAGGTGGGGAAGCTGAGGTCCGAGCCGAGAAGGTGCCTGCCAGCCACGTAGTTAGCTACTAGGCACACAGCTCAAATCCTCACCTTAATTAAACACAAAGAGAAGGTGTCCTTGAATTGGAGATGCAAAAACATGAGGGGAGAAACTTGGAAATAAGAAATGTTGAGTTTCATCTACCCCCTTGGACTTTTAAAAGTGATTTTTTCCGGTAAAGCAACAAAATGAAACACAAAACTTGTTTCTCTCTGCCACCTTTTTCCTGTCTTCATGCCTCTAAATAATCCAAATAGAGCAGACCACACATTACATAATCATGTTTGTATTTTTCTCAAACTAGCCAGTGTCGGTAGAGCTGAAGATGGTGCTAAAATTAGTTCTGTATATTTCCATCTCCCTTAGATTGCTCTTTTACCTCCTAGCTGGATTTTGGTGTAGTCCTTCATGGTTTATGGAAATTCCCCATCTTTGCAGGGCGCGGGGATCAGGAGGGAGTTTGGCCTCTGCAGGGTGGGGACGCTATGCTGAGTGGCTGCAGGACCAGAGGTTGTGGCTTCTCGCCCGGCAGGGACATACCTATCCGCTTGGCCTTGAGCAAGCATCCTCTGCCCTTGGGGCCTCACCGTCCCGGCTATACAGAGTGGGGCTGGGAGAGGACCTAACTGAGGTCCTCTGTACGCTGACATAGGATTCTTAATCAGAGCAGGATCTGCGTTTGGTGGAGCAAAACTGACTGAGATTCCCTTGGGGAGGGGTGGTGTAAGGTGCCCTCCTACTCGGGGCGAGGGGGCTGCTGCTGGGCTCTAAGGGGGTGGCAAGGCTGTTGCAGGGAGGGGGGAAAAGGGGTGAGCGCATTTCCCCACCCCCATCCATCTCCCCAGGTGTCTTGTGACCTACTCTGGTTTCTTCCTTTTACAGTGAAGAGTCTGAGGCCCAGAGAGGGTCAGGGCCTTGCCAAGGCCACACAGTGAGTCAGTGACAAAGCTGAAACAAGCCTTGGTTTTCCCACTGCTCAGATCAGACTGAGACAGCCGTGAATGTCAGGACTGGGCCTCGATATTCGTCTCAAGCGTCCAGTTGGGTTCATTTTGCCTCACAGTCGTTCCTTACAGCCTTGGGGGCCCAAGACCAGCTCTCTTCCTGCCCTTCTATCTAGCAAAGCAGCCTGCACCCCTTGGAGGGTAACGCTGGGGAGGCTGACTGGAGATGAGAAAGGAGGGGCAAGTCCCCAGAGGTGTGTGGACACAGTGGCCAAGGTTTGAACCAGAAGAATGGAGATCTCGTGGTGACAATTCTGGAGTCCTGGGCAGGTGGGGGCAGTCTTTGAGGCAGGGGAGAAAGCAGTGAGCCACCCCTGCCCAATCTCACACCACTGCCACCCAGAGCAACCAGGCGGTGTCCAGGGAAGGGAACGTGGCATAAGGTCAGACACAGTGTTGAAACCGGCACTAAATAAACCTGGGTGTGACCAGGTGTGGCACTTACTGGCAGGTGGCATTGGGCAAATGACTTCGCCTCTTTGAGCCTCGGCTTTCATCTGCACAATGGAGAAGAGAATCCTTTGAAGGCCAGAGATGAGGAACAGACAAGATAATGGGCGGCTGGGCCCCTCCCAGGGGTGGAAGCCCTGCCTGTACCTACGCAGTCATGAGCTCACGTCTGAGCAGAGTCAGGCTTCTTCCCAGCTAGCTGCCGCACTCCCCAGAACCAATTCCAACTCCGCAACGAACAGCCTCTGAGTGCGGCAAACTCTACACTCAATTCTCCAGCTATTTGTTTATTTCCTGTCAGCTGCCTAACCCTCTGCTAAGCACACATCGGCATCTGCATCACGCTCACCGTCACGCTCAACGCCAGGTGTTTTATGTGCGCTGTCTCATCTAATCAGCCTCAAATCTTACCCTATGAGGTAGAAATTATTATAATATTAACCCTGTTTTATAGATGGAAAAATTGAGGCCCAAAGAGGATAAGTAACTTACTGGAAACCACAGAGCTAGTTGCTTACAGAACCGGGATTTAATTCCAGACATTTTGGTTCCAGAACCTGACACTTACCTCTTCTCTATGTACAAAGCTGAAGCCAGAAGGCTTGAAACAGAAAGCTTCAGAGACGGCCTGGCTGAATGAAGGGGGGCAGAGTTGCTCTCTGGCAATTAGAGGCTCTGAGGCCAGATTGCTCGAGTGCTACTTGCTTTTAGCTGTGTGACCTTAGACAAATTACGTAACTTCTCTGAACTTCAGTTTCCTGGAGATGATAAAGCACTTCCTCATAGAGCTATTGTGCAAATCAAACACGTGCAAAGTGTCAAGAGTGCCCGGAACACGGTAACTCTCGAGAAGCATCAGTTGTTACTGATGTCGTGGATCTTTTGGAGGCATTATGTGGCCACCTTGGCCTTCGTTACCTTTGTAGTCCCCATCTCCAAAAACCGGAGACTGAAAAATCATATTCTTCCAACACTCCAGAGATCAAGGTCAGGTGGGGGTAGGGTGAGGGGAAAGACGGCAGAGGTTATCTATGTCTTGCCCAAGAGGACCGAGAGGTCGAGCAGCTATCCAAGGTCCCAGCCCAGGCTTCCTGTTGCCCAACCAGTGCCTGAGACCTGGGAGAGATATGGCAGCGCTAGGGCCGGGGTCAGGAGCATGGGGTCTGGAGCCAGGTGCCTAAGTTTGAATCCTGATGGTGTGTGATTCTGGGCAAGTTATTAGCCTCACTGTCCCCAGTTTCCTCATCTGCAAAATGGGAATAACCACAGCAACCACCTCAGAGGGTTGACGTGAGGCTCAAATGCATTTATACGTGCACCGGGCTTAGACATGGCCGGGCCCAGAGCAAGTACTCAGGAAGGTCTGCTGGAACCTTACGGATGGTGCCCCTTGCCGGGCCTTCCTGCCCCCCCCACCATGCATGAGGGGCGCCCACAGGTCCACTGTGCAGGGGAGCCTTGGCTTGGTCCTGCTCCTGGACACATCTGGAGAGGACGGGATGTGAGCCTGCTTGTCTCACTGCCTCTCTCTGGGCCTTGACTTCCTCATCTGTGGAAGGGAAAAGGTGTGCACCCAGGCAGCGGGGGCTGTGAGGCTTACAAGGGACAACCCAAAAGAAGGCCCCTGGGCAGACACAGGAGCGGGGCAAACAGAAAGAAACCACTGTTCTTATCGTGCCATTGCCGTACCCTGGCTCATGCCCCTCCCGGGGTGCCAGGACCCTGGAGCCAGACACCCTGGTCCACATCTGCTTACAAGGGCCAGTTGAGTCACCGAGAGGTACTGGGCAGGCTCGGGAAGCAGGAAACCACCTTCAGGGCTGCCCTTACTATGACGACGCAGCGCCCTGCATCTGCCCAGTATCCCGGGGGTGCTGCCCCTCCACACCCTCCTCTGCCCCAGGCCTGCCCCTGCCTGGGTGGTGCAGAGCCCCCCAGTGGCCCCTCCAGAGTCTCTTCTGTGAAAGGCTTACTTACGATTGACTCCCTGTCCCAGGGCTGGCGGTGGAGACCGAGGAGAGGAGACAGAGCCCTGGCCTCGTCCGTATTTAAGCAGTGGATGCAGAGGGGCGGCGAGGGAGGGCACTGGTGAATATTAACCAAGGTCACCCAGTTATCGGGGAGCAAACAGGGGCTAAGTCCATTGGCCAGGGCCTGAGCCGCCTGCCCACGCAGCCCCACACTCTGCCTGCGCTGCGCACGGCCTCTGCTCCTCACACCAAAGGGAGTCTTTGTTCCTGGCTCGTAAACCACCGTGTCCTGTGTCTGAGGTGGCGATGGCATGAGTCAGACGGTCTCTGGGACAGTACCACTTTGCTGGCCCCGTGCTCTCTCCAGGGAAGCCTCAGTGGCTGCTCCACTGGTAGCAGGCACGATGCTGAAGACACACTGCTGCCCCGGGGGATCCAGAGTGAGTTATGAGCCCGTTTGACAAATGAGGAAACTGAGGCCCAGAGCAGAGAGGCTGCTCATCTAAAGTTAGCCTCAGATACAAAAACCCTCTCAATTTCCCGGGTGGGAAAATGAGGCATGACTGAGGCGGTCACAGCTGTGTCAGGGTGGCACAGGGTGGCCATGGGACAGGCTAAGGGCTTGGGAGTAAGTCGTTAAAAAGAGCTGTGCCACCTCAGGCAAGCTGCCTCGCCCTTCTGCACCAGGAGGTGTTTTCAGCTGCATCCCAGGTGGTTGGAAGTTCCATTTGCAAGCTCACTGTCGGGGATAGACAAAGCGCCTGGCGTGGAGGCCGGCGCACAGTAGGCTCTTGCCTGGGTCTGCGAGCCCTCTGCCCAGCCTGCTCTCTGGGCCGCTCTGAGCAGAATGTTCAATGTCTGGCCAGCCTCGGGCCTGTTTCTATTTCTGGCTCCCAGAAGACCAGTGGGATCCATATACTGCTTGGATTTTCCTTGGGGACGTGGCCCCTGCCCTGGGACTGTCGCAGGCCTTTGGGGACTGCTGGGGGTTGAAGGGAGGGGTGATGCAGGGCTGAGTCTGGTCGGATCCCACTCGATTGCAATCCCTATAAAAACCTAAATGAGACGGCATCAGCCTCTGTGCACCCCCCGTGCCTGCTTGGGGTTGGACCTTTGCTGAATGAATGCACGAGTGCATTTTTGCCGCTTCTCTCCCAGTTGTGCCTCCACGGTGGGGCTCTGCCAGGTGAGCGACTCACGGATTCTGTGGCACACAGGTTCAGGTCAGGGAACCCACTCACTGGCTGTGAGACCTCAGACAAGTTGTTTAACCCACCTGTGCCTCAGTTTCCCCATCTGTAAAATGAGGACCGTGACAGCACGTACCTTGTTGGGCTGCTGTGAGGATGGAATGCAGCAGTTCCAGGTAAGCGCGGAGCCTGGCGCTGGGTGTGCACAGCAAGCCCTTTATGATGTCGCCCTGGCGCACGTCAGTAGGCCTCCCTGGTGCCACTGGGGGTGGAGTGGGTAACAATTTCAGGACCTTTCCTCCGGGTGTTCTCTCACTGAGAACCCCTCCTTACAGGTGGTGGGAATCTGAGCTCAGACCCCCTCTCCCACTCTCCTCTCTCCCCCTCCCCTAGCTCCATCATCTGGCTTTGGGGCCTCTTGTCTTTCCCCTGAGCTGGCTGAAGGGACACTTCCCTCCAGGATGCCACATCCACTCCAGGCTTGGAGCACTAAGCCAGGAACTAGTCTGGGCTGCCCTCTGGACCCTGTGGGTATTTTTCCCCTCTCTGGGCCTCAGTTTTCCCCCCTGTACAATGGCCTCCCTCTAAGCCCATCTGCCCCCTCCTATCTGTCACACTGGGTGGGCAGTGGCAAGTGGCTCATCATCCCCCTTCCCCCCCAAGCTCTGTCCCCTCTGGCAGGTGCAGGCAGGGTGGCCTGGAGGCTGGTGGGCAGCGCCACACCCCCTACCTGGAATTTCTGGCAGTGGCCACGCCTCCTGAAGCAGCCTGACCCCCTCCTAGGCTGAGTCTCTGCTCGCTGGTCCAGGAAGGAGGAGGCTCCATCCGGGTTGTGGCAACACTTGGTCGGGGAGGGGCTGGGAGCTGAGGCAGGAAGGGGCCCTGCCCATTGTCAGGCAAAGGCCAGACCCGCCCTTCCTGCTCTACCTGCCAGTGTCCAGGCTGTGTGATCCACGAGTCCCCCTGTCCTCTGTAAGAGGAACAGTCACACTGCCCAGAGAATTACTAGAAATCACAGGTGCCCTCTTGGCACAGAGTCTGGCACCAGCCTCGGGCGGATTTCCTGGGCCAGCTGTAGCGGGAAGAGGGCTGAGCCACCTCTGAAATGCCCCGTGGGAGCCCTGCGGCTGGGAAGGGGCCATGTGTGCGGGGGAGGCGTGCGTCACTGGGGGTAGCTGGGGCATTTGGAGGAGGGATGAAGACAGCACGGGGTGGGAGCAGTGGGGGCTCAGAATCGGGCCCCTGCCCTTTTGGGTCAAGGGCTGCAGGCTCATCCTTCGCTCTGCTCTGGACACCCATCCTGGGGGGACGGGCTGGGATGGTTTGGGAAAATGAGCCAGAGCAGAATCCTAGGGGCAGGGGGCACTCAGTGCACAGTGGGGCAAGTGCTGCCCTCTCGGTTACTGCTAGATCTGTCTCTTGCAGCATCTGGGGTGACTCCCTGGCAGCAAATGCGTCGTGGGAAGACCCAGGGGGCTGGCTGTGAGTAAGAGGCATCTCGGGAGACCCCGCCCCTCTGCAGGGCCCTGCCCGGAGATGGGAGCCGCGTGGCGTGGGCTGGAGAACAGTGTGAGAGCTGAGGCTGGGGGTCTGCGGCACGGAAGGGAGGGGGTGGGGGATGCTAAGGGCCCTGGGCCAAGTAGATCAAGGCCGAGTGGCTGGTCAGGAAGACATCGGTGGACTTCAGGGGAGCTGAACCCACTGGCAAGTGCCTAGGAGAGCACTGCCCGCCCCCTGCACACCACGGGCACCCTCACTTGCGAATCGTCCACCTCCCAGGCATAGGCTTCCTTACTGGAGGGAGAACGTAGGTTGGTGGCTAAGGTGTGGGCTCAACAACTAAGCATCCGGGGTCAAGCCTTAACTGCCCCACTCTCTTTCTATAGGTCTTAGACAAGCCACTTAACCACTCCATGCCTCAGTTTCCTCACCGGCGAGATAGGGAGGATATAAGAATAGTCACTTCCCCCGGGCTTGCGAAGGTCAGATGACAACATTTAAGCGCTTTGGGCAGTCCCTGGGGCACAGGATGGCCCCAAGTCACTGCTGACCACCAAAGGTCATGACCTCTGGGGATGCGTCCTAGCCACGGAAAACCTTTCGGTGGGTTCCAGGGGTCTAGGCGGGAGAATGACTGCTGAATTTGGCCCCGGGCTCGGGCAGCAGCGCTCTGCCCAGGGACACCTCTGCAGATTCAAGCTTCCACTTATTCAAAAAGAGGCTGTCAATCCCCCCACCAAGGCGCTGCGCGCATTTTGCTTCCTGAAGGTGCGGGGCCGGGGGCATTGAGTGTCTTTCTGAGCACCGTGATGAGCAGAGGATGCGGAGCGACTGGGGCTAGGCAGACTTGGATTCAGGGGAGGGCTTCACATCCCTTCTCTGAGCCTCAGTTTCCTCATCTGTGAAATAGGGATAAGAATCCCTTCCTCACATTGATATTGCGAGGCTGAAATGAGGTGAGGCTGGTGGGGTGTTGAGCACAGGGCCTGCTCCGTTAGCATAATTGACACTCGCGTCTGTCTTCTCATAACTCGTTTCATTAGTAGGCTCGGTTGCACGTCCCAGGCTGATCTTCCAGGAGATGTGCTGGGTCTGCACTATTCAGTCACCTCCTCTAGGTAGCTCGCAAATCGACCAACTTGCAACACCCTAGTGGATCCCATTTCCTTCTGTGCGAAGCTCTGGGGCCACTTCCTGTGTGGGGGACAATTTCTGCTTTTTCTGGAACTATTTAGCTTATTCACAGTTTTTTGTTTTTTACTCCTTATCCTTACTCAGATTGAGAAAAATAAAGCAAATCTATGCATTGTCAGCGGCAATATAGTTAAGAGAAGGAATAAAAGACGCATCTATAGCTTCATCCCCTTCTTGTTAAAATTAATGAAATTAATGTTTTATTACAACTGACCTTTTCTGCATCTTATTTTTTTTTTTTTTTTTTTTTGAGACAAGAGTCTCACTCTCTTGCCTGGGCTAGAGTGAGCGCTGTGGCGTCAGCCTAGCTCACAGCAACCTCAAACTCCTGGGCTCAAGCGATCCTTCTGCCTTAGCCTCCCGAGTAGCTGGGACTACAGGCATGCGCGATCATGCCCGGCTAAGTTTTTCTATATATATTTTTAGTTGTCCGATTAATTTCTTTCTATTTTTAGTAGAGACGGGGTCTCGCTCTTGCTCAGGCTGGTTTCGAACTCCTGAGCTCAAACAATCCGTCCGCCTCGGCCTCCCAGAATGCTAGGATTACAGGCGTGAGCCACCGCACCCGGCCCTGCACCTTATTTTAACATTACTCTTTTGAGGTTATGGACCATGATGGTCCCTATGGACTCGCCGCTTTTAATAGACTCAACCTGTCCTATTTATAAATGACTGTAATTATGATTTCCTTTTGATGGTCAGATTGTCACATTTTGGCCAACAGGAGGCCCTTTAAGCTATCTTTTTTCTCCTTTCAGCAATCTCTGTTGATGTTTAAGAAAGCACACACTTGCCTTCTAGCAATGACACTATGTCCCAGGCCTGTCTTCATTTTCTCCTGCCCTAAAACATGATGTGGGGGATGTTTTCTGGGAGAAGGAGAGAGCAGGCAGTGACAGCTGTCCTTCTTGGAACCACAGGTGGGGCCAGATGTGCAGGACTCACCCTCGCACGGGGGCCATGGGAGACCTAGCAAAACTTTGGGGGTAATGGGAGAAAATATTCACATGCTACATATCTGATAAAGAGCTGAGAACTAGAATCTATAGAGAACTCGAGAAAATCAGCAAGAAAAAAATCAAACAACCCCATTGAAAAGTGGGCAAAACACATGAACAGAAACTTTTCAAAAGAAGACAGACTAATGGCCAAGAACATA